GTCTTCGTTTGTTCGACTGACAGCGAAGCAAGCAAAATTAGACAGTACTGTGATGACATTACAATTTAAATTCAACGTTTTAGCTTTTTCATATTCCTTTACATGTCACTACGTTTTAATAGGTTGACTTGGGACATTTTTTTCGTGGTTTTTGTATTAGACTCGTCGTCTATTTATTTGTAAGTCAATGCTTTTTAACTTATGTTATAAGTTTCATATTGAAAAGTAAGGAAGTCACTGAATGTTATGGTTACTTTCAAAAATGGAACCCATAATATACTACTTTGGCATAAAAGATCATTGGTAAACGTATCATAGTTTGGTTTTGAACTTCGTCAGTATATACGATAGGCGTATAGCTTATCATCAGGCGACTAGACTTGTTGGTACCGTCACTTAATATTATATAAAATATGGATTTTTTTGGTTTTATTATTATTATTGTTTTTTTCTAAGGGTGTTAACACATTAAAGTCGATCCGTTAACCGATTTCAATAAAACTTGACACATACAATATGTGACATCAGTAGTCTGATAATAGAAATGGCAGACAGAGGAACTCCTCAAGTAACATATGTTTGAGCTCATATGATTCGTTCTGTTGAGGATTTCTATGTTCTTGACAATTATCGTTGAGGAGACCGCAGTTACGAACAAACTGAAAGCGAATAAACAATCTTTTGAAATGTGTTACAATTTTTTGTGTGGTGTCATTTCTGTGGCTATAGTGAAAAGGGTGTAGTTGACGAAATATTATTTGCACCGATTCGTCTTTATCTTTTTGTCTTTCCAGTACAATAGGGCAAAAGAGTGAGCCTTCTCGGTAACGCACGTGCCAATCTGTGTAGTGCAAACAACTAATCTAAATACTTTTACGCATTGGCACTTAACTCTGACCTTGCCGCGGGACTAAGTTTGCCTGAATTAGTATGACAAGAGTCTGTAGTCACAACCTGATGACTAAAAAAATAATTCAAAACTAGAATTCAGAAAAAGTATTATCCAATCATTTATTTAACTTTTGACAGCATCGGAGCTTCTTAATGTCGCTGTAAAAGAGTCCAATAAAAAAAAAGTATTGCATTTTTTGTCTATAGGTGTCATTGACCTTTCAATAAACGGACGTCGGGTTCGCGCTAAAAAGTGTCCGCACCTGTAGGGCGTTAAAATCGCATACAGAGCGTCAATCGCACAATAGTCTTCGTTTGTTCGAGTGACAGCGCGGTTGTCAATCATGCAGTACCAATATAAGCAGTGCAAATAATACTTGTAAAAATTACTGCAGTAAAGTGTGAAAACAGGATTTTGTATCATATTTTCACTAAACAACTATATTGTGTTCCCATAGTCGTATTAAAAGTGTTATTTTGTACAGTTTTATAGTATTTAATTTATATATAACTGACTCGTAAATATAATTACAAAAGCACACGAAATAATGAAATAGCTAACTGTCCTTTTTCTACTCATTGCATGCGCAAAAGATGGAAAGAGACCCATTACGTCAGTTTCAAGAGCTTATATAAACTTCTTGGTCATTTTCAATTGTTCGAACCACAAGCGATTGAAATATTTAGAACAAAGAAACTGTAGAGTTGCTTTGATTTTAATCCTATTTTTAAAATGATTTTTTTATTAAACGTTAGCAATAACTACTTGGTACTTGGTACTTGGTGCAACGGGCTGATTTCCGCAACTCTAGCAATAACTAACAAAATATTATTGTACTCGTTTTACTGCATGGGATTACCTATCAGAAGTCAGAAAATACATTTTCCCGAAATAACATTAACTCGAATTTTCATAATGTGTTTTTACGAAGATTACAAAACAAAAGCTAATTTTGTCTATGTAAAAAGCATCAAAATTACTCGAAAGCGTAACGGTTTTGTTATAAATCAGAATTACGGATATTTGAGTTTACGTTTAGTTAGAATATCGGTACATTTCTTATAGTACACGCTTATTTTCACATTTGTAGTAATAATTGTATGTATGTATCTGCCCAACTCTTTATTATACCTTTAAGTGAATTTGCACAAAATTCGACATAATAATATATATAAAAAAATAATTAATATTTACGAGAAAGGCTATTCCATTACTCTTGTGTTCAAGTAATTTTCAGTCGAAGCTAAATATTGTGCATTTTGTTAAGTTTCCAGTAGAAGCTGAATATGGTGTTTTTGGGCCCTTAAATTGTTGTAAGCAAATTTAGGCTTAGTACTGCAATGACGTTACAATTTAAATTAAATGTTTTAGTTTTTTATATTTCGTTACATGTCACTACGTTTGTATAGGTTAACCTCGGACATTTTTTTCGTGGTTTTTGTTTTAGACCCGATGTCCATTTGTTGGTAGCTCAATGATAGTTGTATGTCAATAATTACGGAACTTCGGAGACGGTGTATAGCGCGCCCATGACTCGTACGATGGACCAAGATCGTCAAATCCGTGTACGCTTTAAGTAAAAAGAATTGTTAATGGTTTTATTACACTATTGCAATAGAAAGGATTAGCCGTTCCAAGCGATAACATTCATCGGTGCAAATAATATTTCTTCAACTATACAAGTCACAAAACCCCACTATACAAGGAGACGCGAAAAACACTTAAAGCTTAATGTGATATTAAGCTTTACTTGTGTTTCGCGTTTCCTTGTAAAGTTGCATTTTTTTACTTGTACCCCTTTTCACTATAGCCACAGATTTGTGGTAGGTATTAAGTGTCGTTTCTTTCTTTCACTCTTAAAATAACCGCTGTTTTTAAAGCCTTATTTTGATATCGCTATGCAGGAAGAGTTGAACTGTCGGATGTCGGGTATGATAAATGTGCAACGACTGTGCTGTAGAGTTACTATACGACATTTAAAAAAACCATTTCATAGTTTGTTATTTTGAACATGAGTTATTTTTAAACTTTGATACGTAACATGCAGCTTGATTTTGATTGCCTCCCACGATCGGAAACACTCTACTGGCCGATCGGAAACAATTGACATTTCAAATCGGGACAATAGTTGATTTAACTCACAAATTAGAAAGATATAGTACGAATCAGGCAGGTTCATCTTCTCGCTCGGAAAGCCTTACGATTGTTATCGGATGGGCTATCCGATCGGTTCGATTCCTATTTGAATCAAAATCAGCATGCAGAGGTGCTATAAATGCGCCTACAAAATATATGCTCGGTTTTTTGACAATCGATACATGTAATTAAACAAAATGAGTACATTTGTTAGCAACAGACGATCGATATCGTATTTTTTGTCGATCAACATGTGTGATAAATCAGACAAAATCGAGTAAATGTGTGAGAAGCATACGATCGATCATGTCGACCGCAAATCATTGTAATCAATGTTCTTTTTTGTTAAACCCAGTATTTACATATTCTTAACCTGTTGGTTTAGCATAAGGGGAAATAGACAAAACTTAAGCGCGTCGAGATATCTTTCTTCTCTACCGATTATGTTTCACCTCCTAGCACGAAGGAAGGGAAACTCTACCGTAGATAAAGTTTTCTCTACGCGTACTTTCTGTCTTTTACCCCAATGGTAGTAGAGATATTTCGCCATTACGATCTGTCAAAAGTATACAAAATTTGGCTGTCGTGCTATGGTTGGAGAGAAATTGCCTTCATTTGACATTTGTATGCGCTACAACGTAAACCTTGTCGAGATAATTCGTAGTGACGTCATCTGCGGGCTCATGCTAAGCCTGCTAGTTTAGTGACTGCAAATCGTGTTTAAGATTCTCAGTTAAAGTAGACGATATTTGTTTGTCTAGTCATGGTGAGGTACTAATGCGTATGTAGTAAGGCTTCAGTTCCTTTGCAACCGACTTTAAGAAACAGGTTTTTATACAGACTAGTATTTTTCAGGGTTTCCTCATCTTAACGCCTTTATGAACATACTTTGATGTCTGTTTTATTTAACAGGCCGTGGATTCAGTTGGGCTTCTGGGAATATATTTTAGAATCTTCCACATCGCGCCAGCGCATCAAGCTACACATTGACATATCTTGTTCCGTTGCAATGGAGGCGATTTTCGAACAAAAATGTGTAGTCTGATGTGCCGTTGTCCGTACATTTAACTTTATCGTCGAGCGTATAACCAGAAATAGAGACGAAATAAGGGCCATCCATCCCTGGCAACTCATTGGGCAAATGGGACTTATATCACTTTTAAATATCAACTCTTGTTTGCGCTGAAATCACAAATTAGAAAGCTGAAATAGTACAGCGCCAACAATTGATCTGTGTGTACGTCTCCGTATATTCCAAAAATTCCAACATCTAATTGCAAAACAAACGGAATCACATTTCATCAGTAATTCAATATTAAATGTGTAATTTTTCAATTTTGTCCATTGTAGCAAAGCTTGAGTTAACTTGTCCATTGAAGTGAAACAATTGACGGCATATGTCATTTGCTTCGAATTCGTGCTGGCCAATTGGAGCACAGTTGTCACCGGAATGATTTGGCAGAATAGTTTTCAAACAAATTAAATGACATTTCGTCTCTATTTCTGGTTATATACTTGATGGAATATACTTATTATTATTATTGTATCGATGGCATACATTGCAATGCTTGCCATCGTGGTGAAAGATTTGCCCAGTGGACACTGGGCCAGACGTACAGGAAACTCGTACACCCCAACTGATCTTAAAGAAAGTAAATACACGGAATGGATAATACGTCCATCTGAAATCCTGGAAATATAATGTGTAACTAGCAATTACTTTACAACAGTATTCAAAATTAAATTGTAATAATTATGAGTAAAAATATGAATATTTTGTTTTGATTTGTGCTTTTAATTTCTGTTCACGGATTTTAGAGCGAGGTTTTATGCGCTCTGTGTTTATCATTTAAAGTTTAAGTATTCCTGTCTCTACCTGTGACATACAAATAAGGGCCTTACTTTTTCATGGAATTTTACGTACGTTTTTATGGCCATTATATTTTTTTAAATTAATTTTATTTGTGTCCAGGTCATGACGAAGAGGAGTCGGTGGGCGTTGGCGGGGGTGGCGGTGCAGGCGGGGGCGACCCGGCGGTGCTGTGCGTGGGTCCTGCACGACGGCCTATTTCGTACTCGCGCGATGAACTGCTGCGTCTACGCAACTCGCCGCTTGTCAAGCGCGGGCTTGAGAACGCCTTCGCTGGATGCGATGCTCTTGCACTGTAAGTCTTTGGTCATTTTATGGCTGGTTTTCAAATACAAAGCATGAATGTCAAACAGGGACGGTACTAGAAAAATAATTGATCTTGTCACTTGGTAAGACAGGTTTACCACTCGAAAACTAAGTACTTAGCAGTGGACCTCCTTGTGAAAAAGTTACAATGTCAGCATTACTGCGTTCTGGTTATAAAAAGTAAGGACGCGTTCCCATTATGTCGTGACGACAGATAGTCGTGCAGTTTAAAGTGTCGTGGCTTGTATATTTAAAAGAAGTTGTTCACACATAGAACGACACGATTAACTATCGTTTATGACTTTTTTGACGTTACGACGACAGACTGTCATGACAATGGGGCGAGCTAGAATGATAGTCGTCGGACGATAAATAAAACGTCACGATAAAAATGTGATGACAGATAATCGCAGCTTCAAACGATTTTGTTGAGCAAACGACAAGGCGGCAGCCGTGAATCGATAAATTGTCGTCACGATCTAGTGGGAACAGCTAGACACGACTGTCGTTCAACGACGACACAGTCACGACGGTAACCTAACACAAACTCGATTTTTTTTCGAAATACGTTTTTTCGAATTTTCATTACACCGAAGACCGAATTATAAATACACCGCTGTTCTTTCAGGATATGTTGGATGTTTATTGCAAACACACGATTAGATTCTGTTAGGTTAGGTTAAGTTAGGTTTACAAGAAAAAACATTTTCCTTTCAAAATTACTTTCGAGGTTATGAAAGTTCGAGGAAACGTTATTTCTGAAAAATGTCATTTCGGACTACTGATAGGTAACCAACCACTCACGACAGATAGTCGTGATATGGGAACAGCTTGGACGCGACGGTTGTCCAACAACGTCACGACATAATGGGAACGCGCCCTAACGGGTGCTGGTAAAATTACACGCACATGGGACTTGTCAACTTTTGTCTCAGATTGACGGGCGCAGTGGTAGTGCCCCTCAGATCTTTGTGATTTAAAGCACTGAGTGAGCAACTGAAAACAATATTACTCTTCAAATTACCCCTCTTCATTATTGGAGGTGAGGTTTGTCTATTCTTGTCGCGCATGATGACCTCATCAACATTTCGCTTCCAACCATTTTTGACATAAGATCCATCTATTTAGGTATATCTTTCTTATGTGTAACTTCTTTGCTGCAGCGTGCTGAAACGGCGTTCTGATTCACCCAATGAAGAAGATCGGGGCGCTAGAGGGGACGCTCCTAACGAAAATCATAAGGTGAAACCGTACTTTCTTAATTAAACCCTATTAGCTGACAGAGTAAAATGACAGTTTAATGCGGAAAAGAGTTTCCAACTTCAAGGCTGCTAGTGATTGCAATCGATAAATATCCTATCGACCGTAAAGTTGCCAGCTTATTTATCGGTATTCTATTGGTTATATTACGGAAAGTGTGCAATAGAATTGCATGATATAATTCGCTCCTATAAATCTTTTCCGCTTTTCCCTTTCCATCATCGGGGGAATAGACGTAGGCTAGGTTTCCACCATCATATTGTGGATATTCCAGGTTTCATTCCAGGAAGCGTTTCGGTTCCACATTTAATTTAATTATTTTAACTGCCTCCGTGGTTGCCATACGGGTTCGATTCCCAGGCCTGGAGAAATATTTGTATAGCCTACATTAATTTCTCTCGTGGGTTTGGGTGTAATTTGTGGTGTTCTATGTGTGTGTCCAGGGTTTCACGGCACCCGTCAATTGTTTCGAATTCAGGCTGGCCAGTCGGTGCTCAGTTGTCACAGTAATGATTTGGCAGAATAGTTTTCAGCCAAATTAAATGACATTCGTCTCTATTTCAGGTTTATACTCTATCTTAATGTTGCTCGACTTGTTACGAACCAGTCCGCGCGAATTTTTGCGCGCCTATTCAAATATTTTTTTTTATAAAATGTAAGTGCGCATTTGACCTCCTTTTCACTTGTTGGAAAGTGACGATAAGGCCGACGATGGAGCACGCACACCCAAATAATGCCTACCCACTCTCACCTTGAAAAGGCCCAAGTTATAACGTTCACGGAACAAGTCCGCAAGCAGGGAATTGCACTCCATAGCCGTTTGCCATATAAATGTGGAAGAGTAACGATTCGTGCGATCTTAAGAATATTTACAACTTAGGGGTAGAACCTAAGCCAACGCCTAGTCCCGCGGTGATGGAAAGGGGAAGGCGGAATTAAATCGTGTACTTCCATCGCACACTCTCCGTGATATATCCTGTAAAATACTGGTAAGCAGGCGAATTTACAGCGGTGTTCAAGGCTCTGCAGCTTCGCCTCTATTAATACCGAGTCACCTATAAGCCTGATTGGTACGCTTGTCAATAGAATCCCAGGTGGCCAGTTGGCATGTAGCAGTGCCATCCCCAATGGTGGTACTCCTTGCACGACCGAATTTATGCTTGGTACAGCTGAAGCAACTGTCCCGGTGTAGAGTAACGCCTCACCCTGGAAAGAATGCCAAGCTTCCTTGCCGCATTTTTGGCCATGGATTCAACGTATCTGCCGAAGTTCAAATTGAATGAAAAAATATGTGTTAATAAACCCCTACAGTATGTTCAAATATATGCACGCTAAAAATTATCTTATTTACAGGGTGTATATGGACGCGAGCGCGATCGCGAGAGACGCTCAGCGGATCCTCGAGAACGTGTCCGCAAGGAGAGCGAACCGAGCGGAGGTGGGATTGTGCTGTCCCCGCAGCGTCGTTCGTTTACGTCAGGATGCGGCGCGCCGGCCGCGGCCGCCCCGCCGCCGCACGTGGCCCGGACGAGACCAGAATCGCCATTGGGGGCCACAACCGTGCAGCCTCCGGCGCAAGCTATACCAGCCAAACCTGACCAAGGTACGGTCAGGGTTTGCGCGTACATTGCGTCTTATGTTGGTTGTATCCAACATGCCTTTAGTAGCAGTAGAGCTCCTTGTGAAAGAGTTCGTCCAGGGAACTACTGCCATCATACCTTTTTCTGCGCCCAAGCAGTAATGTGAGCATACTGCGTAAATTACAGGCACATGGTACTTGTCAACTTATGTGACTAACTGGCGCAGTGGCGGTGCCCTCTCAGATCTTTGAGATTTAAATCTCTGAGTGCCACTGCAACTGTTACGGACAGGCATGTCGCTTACCATTAGGCACACGACTTGTTCGTCCCGTCACTTACTATCATAAAGAAAAAAACACGTTTGCGCGCAATGTACGCTCACTGCTCTACGGTCGCAAATGCGCTGCTGTTTTTTCTAATATCCCAATAAACAATATTATTATAAGCCTACAATAAAGCTTACATTGAAATTAGATTGTTTTTTGAAGATCTTTGCATTTTAAGGGTTTCAGTGGCACTGCTACTGTTATGTATATCGCTTACCACTAGGGCCCTAAATCTGCTAATTTTCTTCAACCCCTGCTCATTGTAAGTCTGTTTTGACACTGAAGTTATATTGCAATTATAACAGTATTCGTTATTCTGATAACGAATACTATATAAAATCTAGTTGCAATGGCAGTTGAGTCTCAATAGAGTGTCAGTGTTAAGTCACTAACGATCGATATTGCCTTACTAAAACTACCATAGAAATTACTTAATTTATTAATACCTCGTTTAATCAACAATTTAGTCTTAAAATTAACAGCCTTACGCATCCGAAGATAAACTTTTCCTTTTAATTAAAAAAACTGATGTTTTATAGTTCAACTGTTTTTCTTTCATCTACCATATTGCTCGCTATAGTGAGGTGAAAATTTGTGTGTTGTTATTTCCGAAATCTTAGCTTCCTTCGCTTGCTCAGGTTTCAATACAAACACTCGCGTCTAACAACAACGTAACAAATAACTCTTTTTATGTCAAATTATTTGTATAGACTACGCCATTAACGTGTCATCGACTTCTAATTGAAGAGCTGAATACCAAAACTAACAAAATCCACCCATTGACAGACACTCTATCGACTCACAATTGAGTTGATTTAAAATTGGCATGTTTTAAAAGTAGCAGACTTGGAACCCATGAGTGGTTTTTTCTTTAGTCACAGTCGAGTTTCGAGTGAACTCGATTAGAAACCCAACCCGTTCTTAGTTTCTGGGCCTTTCACGTTGCTTTAAATCCAATCTACCTTAAACGTGAAAGCCCTATATTAAATGGCAAATTCAGGTGATGCGTGTTATGAGATTGATATTGCATTGTATGTATTTGCCTACATTTTATAGCGTTCTTAATAAATAAAGCGTGGTAGCACAGTTAGACATCAGTCGCTTCTCAAATATGAGGTTCACTGTTCGAATGCTTGTGGCAGCATGTACCAATTTGAATAATAATGTTATGTATCGAGTTCTTAGGTTTTCGCGATTGTTATACATAGGAAATGAAACTATTTTTCCGGATTTAAATCGCGTATATTTGTTTTTTCAAACAAACCCACGTTTCGGGCTATTTACAGGTCCCACTGTCACGGTTGACTGAAAATTATATCATCAAAACATGTGTTTATTTCAGATTTTTTGTGTTTCTTTGACCGTTTTTGTACAATAAATTGAACGCCAAATTGGCCATATATAATTTTTGTTACATAAAGGTTAAGAAAATTCTCCACGAATTCCTTCAAAATATGTCCTGTGATGATAGAGATAATTTATTAATTACCCAAAATAAATAAAATAGATGTTGTCTAATTTATGCGTATATATATACGATTTGCATTTTATTATTGAACTATTCTTTTGTTTATATTTTATTAATATATAATGTTAGTATATAATTGTATAATTAGTATTTTTTTACCTGAAATAAAGGATTCTCCTAGTTCAGGTATATGTGTTATATTTTACATTGATACGCATAATTAGTCTTTAGTTATTCTTTTGTACAATGAGTTATTTAAAAAACAATTTTATTTATTTATCATACTGTATATAGGTCGTCGTATCGGGTCTGGCCGCATAATGGTGCGCGACGCGAATGCTGGTTGGGAGGAAGGCGAGTGGGGCGGTGGGGCTGAGCCCTACCGACCCCCGCGCGACCGCGACTCGCATGCCCACCGCGCCAACAACGACAGGTGAGTGATAACCACAGAAGAAAAAAACTATGGAAGTGCCATAAGCCTCGATTACTATCAGAACTGATGTCGCCAAAACTCACACATTCTTAATTTGAAACACTACTAATTGTTGATAATGATTGGTCGTAGTTTCAAATTTAAAAAGAAATATCAAATTCTGGACTTTTAATATAATATAATCTTTACCCTGTTGGCATATCGTTGAAAGTTCAATACCGCCAATACTTATTATTGATTACGACGTTTCAATATTAAATTGAAATTTCAATCAATGTCCTGCCATCTAGCGGTTAATTGCTGAACCACGACGAATTGGAGTTATTTATTTAGTTCTCCAAAAAAGAAACGACTATATTGCAGGGGTATAAGCTTTACTTTCGTTTCTTGTAACAAAAAAATGATTTCGATATTCTGTTTATTTTGAAAATTTATTGAAATAAGACGTGCCGATGATATGAAATACCATCACAGGTAATATTTTTGGTGCAGCTATCATTTTTGCATTCCAAAACTGATTTTATAGAATTTACGCGAACGAATTGACACAACCAAACCGTATAAAGCGAAAATGGCGGACAGAAGTCACATAGGTCTTAAGAGACCTATAGTTGGCACACATGTGAGGCTAACTAACCACTTCTACTTTATTTTCTGTTCTGTGGTGATAATTCTAACCTAAACTGATACGTTAGCCCAGGGAGCCATCCGTCCGACTCGAAAGCAGCAATATTGATTTCTAATATCATGTTGTTTTTACTACCTTGATATTCAAATATTTTTTTATGAAACTTATTCTACTAGTTTGTCATTATCTGTAATGTAACAGACCTCTGCCTCCGTCTCCGTGAGGCGCGCGTTTTTTAGCTGTTATGTATTAAGTGCAGTTATGAAACCAAAAACAAGTCCTATTTGGAATTGTTTCATTGAGATATTTATGGTACTTAAACGTTCCCTTTCGTGTGCGTATCCGCTAAGATTACTTTTGACATCTGTTTCCGTTATGACACTTACGTTGTATCACTAGTCACTATTATTGATACAAAAACCGAACAAATACAAAGTGAAATTCCTTCGATCTGACTGAACTCAAACCAGTGTCTGTGCCTACCACTCTTCCAATTAAACAACAGACCGAGTCAGCAGATATCACATGTTTCGCTGCACTTCATTGGCCTTATTCAGAGTGGCGGCGGGCGCGGGTGCGTGTAATTCAAATGTACGTAGACGCTTCTTGCGTTCACAGTGGTCGCGTGCGCCAGGGCCTGCCTAAATGCGGGCACGGGCGCAGGAGACGCGCGCGCCGCGAATCTAATGGCTTAGTCCGCCCATTCTTTCACAGTGCTTGATCTAGCGTATGTTTGCAATTTCGACGTGTGGATAGACCCGCTCATGTGAAAGGGAAGATGCCAAGACCCGCGCGCCCGCTGAATGAGCCTATAATTTCTCACAGGAAGCACTGCTGCAAAAAAGCCGTTTAAAAACCCAATACTTAAATTCTCAACAAGCGTAAAGAAATGACTGAAATGATATAAAGGATTGGTGTAAAGGGCCCGAAACGTTGGTTTATTTGAAAAAAAAAATCACGATTGAGATCCCAAAAAATAGTTTCATTACCAAGGTTCTGATGTTCAGTCTAAACCGATTTTAATAAGACTTGGAGAATAGTAAATTTGCTGAGTTTTATTGAAATCGGTTACCGGAAAGTGCGTGAAACCGGATTCATCCCCTAGTTTGCGATCCTTAAAGATAGAATATTTTCTTCAAATTTAAATGGGGACCAATACTAAGGTACCCTCTTTCCAACTGCCTCCGTGGCCGAACGGTTACCATACCGGACTGCCACGCAGAGGTCCCCGGGTTCGATTCCCGGGCCGGGAGAAATATTTGTATGGCCTACATTTATTTCTCTCGTGAGTTTGGGTGTAATTTGTGGTTGTCTATGTGTGTGTGTCCATGGCACCCGCGACACAGGGTTTCCCTAGTGCGGGGCTATGTTGAGTGTGTGCGTTATTATTATTATAACAAAAAAATAATCACCAGAATCGGTTCGCAGATGCTGGAGTAATCGCGTAACATACACACAAAAAGTAACATACAGTCGAATTGAGACCTCCTTCTTTTTTGAACTCGGTTAAAATTTAAGTTGTTCGTCACAGCATTCTCGTGCTATGTTGACGTACCTTGTGTTATATATTGAAATTTTTATAACATCATCGCGGATTGGCATCTCGATTATGGGAGTATTATTATTGAAATAGATAAGAAATGCTGAAGTATTCTTAATTTAATGTTTTGAGTTTATTTAAACAACCCCAAACACAACAATAAACACGTCTACTATTTGATATCAGTTATTAAACACCGAGCGTACGCTTCAATTCTATAATGAAAGGCGCGTGCGCTCTGTGTAATACGAATACACCGCGAGCAAGGCTCCGTCACTTACTCAAGGTTACGCGATAAGTGCCTACCGCTGAGTACGCCGACGTCGGCGCACTCAAGCGCTCATACATATATTTCATTTATGAACATTTGACTCCGCACGACTGCACACGGCGGGCAACGTTGTTTTCACCTCTCTGAGCGCGTGCTCGTAGGTATTTTCGATTTTTATGAGATTGATGCATCTGTTACATGAATAAATGAATGGCTTAAAATATGGTTTACAATAGGTGGTACAAGTATACATAATAAAACAACACTCATATTTTACCATTATCGGCATGCAAATTTATAAATAGGACATCAACATTTTGGCAGCTAAACAATTCTAAAGCAAGTCCTATTAAGTATGATAACATATTATAATAGTAAGTTATTACCGTGTCCTGAAGATGTCAAAAATATAAATTATATTTTTATCTCTTAGCCATGACATCAGCTGACGTTTAAATAGAAGATTATTATCACTTTATATTAGTATCATATATACGTGGTAATTATTAATCGTGGTAAAATAATCTGTGCCGCGAGATTATGCAAATGTGTGCGTCCGTACACGGCGCGCGGTGGGCGTGCACACATACAAGCCGCGCTGCTACGTTTCTATGGAGTTACCATATTTGTCTTGTATAACTGTTACCTGGTAACGTTTAATTGTTTTAGGTTCGAGCGTCGATCGTTTGGGCGCGACTCCTACTCCTCTGACATCAAGAGGGAACGGGACGAAAGGTTCAATAACGATAAAGGGGGCCGCGATAGGTAAGCAATATTAGTTTAGTTTTATTTGGGGCTCCAACATAATTTATGCTAGTTTACAGACTGTAACTCAAGAACATATCGCACTGCTATTACAATATTAATATTATTATTATTATTGGTACTTGGTACATGGTGTAACGGGTTGGTGTCCGCAACTCGACGTCAAGGCGCCTATTTTGCGTGTGGTATTATTATTATTATTATTGTTGTATAATAGTGTTGTAACTCATAATATGTGAAGTTTAAGATTATACCATTTCACACAAAGAGATAGGGAAAGATTAGAAGCTTTTGAGATGTGGTACTGGACGAGAATGAAGGGCATAATGACTGTGAACTGGCAACCTGTACTATCTCAATTTTGACAATTTTACACGATGAAGAAAAAAATTGTTTGTGTCATTTATACTATAGCATCTGGTTTATTAAATAAATATACTTATTGTATGTGTAATAAAAATATTTAAAAACTACGTAATTTTATTTAATTATCTGAGTAATTAAAAATATATACAAAAGACGCAAACAATTTTTTTCTTCATCATGTACAGTTGTCAAAATTGAGGTAGTACCGATTGCCAGTACCCAGTCGATAAGTTGGATAGAAAAGAAAACCAATGAGGAAGTATTGAGAATGGTAAACGAGAACAACCGTGAACGCTATAAAGCATACAGGGTCCGTCCCAAAAGTATCGAACATTTTTTTTGGGAGTGTTGCCGAACGGCGGGAAGCGCTCCGCTTGGCAACAGAAAGTGGTGGGGGGATCTAGCCGATACAGCGCGACCGGTCCCAGTTGGCTCCGAGCACCTGGAGCGGCAGGACGTGCGTTCGCGTAGAGCTCTAAACGACACCTCGTCGAAGTTTTTAAAAGTAGCGCGATGACGGATCCGTTAGAACAGAGGTACGCAGTGAAATTTTGTGTTCTACTCGGCAAAAATACTGTGGAAACCAACGAGATGATTAAACAGGCCTTCAAGGACAAAGCCTTGTCCGAATCCTCGGTCAGGAAGTGGCACAAGATGTTCCGTGACGGAAGGGAAGAGGTGACCGACGAAGCCCGCTGGTCCCGCAGCCTCCCTACAGTCCTGACGTCGCCCCGGCAGACTTCTTCTTGTTTCCCAGCATCAAGTCGAAGCTCAAAGGCAAGCATTGGGGCACAATTAAGGACATCCAAGAAGCTACGACGAGGGCGCTGAAGGACCTACCCGTTGACGTCTTCCAGGGGGCCTTCCGGGCATGGAAAACTCGCCTACAAAAGTGCATCGATGCTGAAGGGTGTTATTTTGAAGAGTACTAATGTATGGTACCGATAAGTTCAATAAAAGTATTTTTCCTGAAAAATGTTCGATACTTTTGGGACGGACCAGATAGACACGGGAAAATGATTGGACTTTTGATACGACACGACAACTTCTTTAAGACCATTTTGGAGGGAAAGATCGAGGGCTTCCCCTCGATCGTTGCGTGTATTTGTGGATGCAACTCGCTAACGATGAGGTAAAACATTACAATGAAGCTTACATGTCGAAGAAGGGTCACAACTTTTGACAATGTTTGCATTGTTACCGTGACATAGTGTGGCCTAAACTCTTGCCTTAGACCTTGTCCAGAAGAAGCGAATTCATCGCTAAAGTTTATTAAAATAATTCAGCAGGTCAATTCGTGCAATACTCCAGACTCTCTACTCACGCGCACATCGAGTATATAACCAGAAATAGAGGTAAAATGTCATTTAATTTGATTGAAAACTATTCTGCCATATCATTACTGTGACAACTGCGCTCCGATTGGCCAGCCCGAACTCGAAACAATTGACGGGTGTCGTCAATTGTTTCACTTCTAATCGACCAGTTAACTAGAGCTTTGTTATAAAGGACGAAAATTGCCAAATTACATATTTAATTACCGATGAAATTTGATTTTGTTTGTTTTGTAACTAGACGTTTTGCTATTTTTTCCCCATACCACCGAATGGAACAGTATGTCATTGTTAGATTATCTTTATTACAATAAATACAGAATATTTTTGGAATATACGGAGACGTACACACAGGTCAGTTGTTGGCCTGTCTTTATTTCAGTGCAAACGAGAGTTGATATTTACAAGTGATGTATCACTGATGTGTTACCAGGAATATATGGCCCTTATTTCGTCTCTATTTCTGGTTATATACTCGATGCACGCGCATTTGTACGTATTACAAGAAACTTTTTGGTTACGTTCAGTTTACGCGCGAACTTCAGAGTACACGTGTCTAGGAAAATAGAGCGGCAAATTTTTGATACGGAAATGTTTATATATGAAGTAGAAAAAAGATCGACACTGTGGCATCTTCTGAATACTCTGAAACAATAATTAAAAAGGTCTCATAACATACTGTTCGAAACATGCTATATATCTTTCTATCGTAAACAACTGTAGGCACGAGGAGGATGTACTAAGTACATTCCACTTTCCTTTCGTTTCGTCTCTTCCAAAACTGTAAGCTTGCCACAACTAAACCACTTCGTCCAACTCCATATTAAATACTGACTGAATCCATCCTCAAATGCTCGCACGTTGAATACAATCGTGCATATATCGATGCGCGATACGATTCGCAGCAAATTCGTTCCTTCTGCACAAGGTCGTGGAGGAGACTCGTGGTCAGAATTGGGACGAATAAAATATTGTTGTTGGTGATGATGATAATGCATTTCATTAACAATTATATGTTTTGCAAGTATCGAAAATTAAACAAGTTTCAGTAGCACTAAAAATAGACACAATCTGTTGGTCAACAAATTGATTTGAACTAGTGTTCAAAGTGATAATTGAGGGGCGTCGGAACTGAAACCGCTAAGTCTCATAGGTGAGTGCGAATGCCGATTACGCGACTGACGATAGTGCGAAGACGGTTGCGCGAAAGTTTAAATGTGCGACAGTTCATTGGCGCGAATGGCCAGTTGCGCGAAAGTTTAAATGCGCGATAGTTCATTTGCGCGAATTGTCAGTTACGCGAATGACGATAGCACGAAGACAGATTTGACTCCCATGGCTGCAGGTTGCAATTCTTTGCAATGCAAAACTTTCATAATAAACTATACGTTTATTTTTGTAAAAGTTTATTAGAGTGTACTTGCAACAATTAACTTGCTTTACAGCTTTCGCAAATCTGCCTTCGTGCTATCGTCATTCGCGCAAATGAACTATCGCGCATTCAAGCTTTCGCGCATCCGTCTTCGCACTATCGTCATTCGCGTAATCGGCATTCGCAATCACGCGGAAGACCCAAGTCTCATATTTAGTTTTTCTTTTTTTCTATATGCCAAATGGTAGTTTTTGTTCGTTTCTACGAATAATTTATCCAACCCGAATATCAACCACTAAGGGCGCGTTTCCATTATGTCGTGACGACAACTAGTCGTGCAGTTTAAAGCGTCATGACTTGTATTTTTACATGAAGTTGTACATAGTACAACACGATTAACTGTCGTTCACGACTTTTTTGACGTTACGACGACAGACTGTCAAGGCAATCTCTACGATAAATAAAGCGTCAAGATAAAAACGTGATGGCAGACAATCGCAGCTACTATTGTCGGTCACATTTTATTGATCTCTCTCCTCTCCCCTCCGTTCCCCGTGCCCTCGGCGGTGCATCAAACGATTCCGTCGTGCAAACGACGAGGCGGCGTCCATCAAACGATTCTGTAGTGCAAACGGCAAGGCGGCTACCACGAACCGATAAATTGTCGTCACGATCCAGTGGGGAATAGCTATAAACAGTCGTTCAAAGTGATATGGGAACAGGCTACAAGCTACAGTCGTGTAACGACTCCTGTTTAAAAAAATACGTTTCAAATGCACGGATCTGAACACAATGCCTCAAATCCATTCAATGAAAGTAGACGAAATTGAAATCGAAATTTATCGGTTTTTGTTCCAAAGCTCCATAATTATAATTGACAATCATCATGCTAATTATCACAATTATATTGATATATACATTGACTTACAATTATAGATATATATAAAATTTTTTGTGACAACTATCGTGTCATGTGTTTGTAATCGAGAAGAATCTATACATGTTAAAAGTTAATCTCAAAAAAGTTACTAACCTAATCGCATTATCAAAGATTTTTCTTCGTGTTTATTTAGTTTTCTCACTGTTTGTCATATTTAGTGAAAAAATAAATAGACTATGAATGAGCATGGATAATTATCAATGGAGAAATATCTAAAAGAAACATCTCGTTAATTTCGAGCCCTGATTTTAACCATTAATATAATTGAGTAAATTTTTTCAATCCAAGCCTATAAAATAAAAAAATATAGTTTATTTTTTAAGCATTGGAGGTGCTGCCTGTACGAAGCCCTGTCACTCATATGAAATATTGGTTGTCCGTTACAATGAATTTATAAATTCACCGGTCAATTTTTGAGTAAAAACGCGTGTGTTCCTCAACTTGACATTGGCGAAATCATCCATTACTTCGATACGGTCATAATAACATTTAAAAGAAGAAGAATGAATTTATAAATGTAATAAAATGTGTCTGGTGTTTGTTGAGATATACAAAAACTTAAGATTTAGTATATTTGTGTAGTTTTTTAGAAGCTATGTAAGTGTTTGAGACGAATAGACTAGTGATGCGTTATGGAAAAAAATTCCACTTTGAGTATATCATATTTTTGAGATTTTTTTCTCATTTATATTTTTTCACATTTGATAGTGACACCTGTCAAAAGTTGAGGATACTGAACTTTATTATGGGAATTTGTGAAAATAAAAAAAAAGGGTTAAAAAAATTACTTTTAGTAATGATTATACAATTTTAATTTATAATTCATGTTAAATAAAACGTTAAAAGATATATCTAAACGTAGAAGTATAATATGAGTTTTCGAATTATACTTCGTTTCAATCCATTTTAAACAAAAAGTAAACAAACAAGTCACTGACCTGACCATAGACGGTTTAGTGATGGCCAATTGTAATGCAAACTTAAAATCGATTAATTAATTGGCTGAATCGATTTGTTTAATTGAGTCATACTAGCAGTTTTCCTTACATGAATAGTAAAAATACATAACCTATAAAAGCATATATTTAAAATTTCCGAAATCGTAATTTTAAATTCTCCTTTAAACCTTTACACTTAGATATTCCTTCGATTGCGATTTAAATTTTCGAATTACCAATCGTTTACAAAATCTTTAATTGAATGAACGGAATGTTTTTTTTCGTACAGCACTATGCAAACATAGACAAGTCATAGAAGTATAGATGAAAAATAACCTTACTTTTGAACTACCATTTTTCAAAAACGATTTTACGATGCTATTCAAATGAATATTGTTGGAAAAAGTGATATCATGTCGAAAACTTCGAAATATACGTCAAAGTGTGTAAGTTATTCGATTTATTGAGTGATTGCTTTAGAATTTTAACCAAACAGGTTTATTTCCTTTTTGTTGAAAATGGATTGGAAGAGACTACATATTTCGAGTTCTTAGGTTTTCGCGATTGTTACACATAGGAAATGAATTTTTCCGGATTTAAATCGCGTATATTGTTTGAAAGAACAAATATACGCGATTTAAATCCGGAAAAATAGTTTCATTTCCTATATATAAAGTGTTTAACCCTAATGTGTGATAATATGGCGGCATTGTAAAGAAGGTCCACTAAACATTAGCTCAGATTGAAAAGTCTAGAAATGCTGATTGATTTTTAATGCAAATAAATGGGGGTATGAAATTTATTAGCGTCAGGGGTTTGAAATGTTGAACTGAACATTATTCTTGTGTGATGAACTTTTCAACTAGAGACTTCGACTTTTTTTGTTACAGGGAGGACAACCGCAGATCTGGTGGTCGCTACTCTCAACGCCGCTTTGAGAAAGAAGATGAACCCGAATGGTAAGTTAAACCAGAACCGCACCAGTTACATATCTCAGAGCTGTAGTCCGATTTAAGACTCTTCGTCATTTTAACCAAATCGTTCTATTGGATATCGTTCCCCAATCGAAGGACGCTTTCCGAGCCATTCAGAACATTCGCGTCAAACGTTCGATTCGGATTCAGATACGATATCGTTAGTCGATACCGACGAGACGATATCGAGTTAGTGCGTGAAATAGATAATAAGAAAAATGAAAATCCTTTTATATACATTTTGAAGACCTTAAAGTGCTAAAATATAGAAATGCATTAGTCTCGCATAAATTAATAAAATTGAACAAAATTCATACTTAATTTAACATAATAAGAGATATCCATATTACATTATTTTGTTTTTTACATTAGTTCGGTAACTTTCATCGGATAACTGAGTTCTGAATTAACGTTTGTAACCTTTGCCGGTCGAGAAGTTCGATGTTATGTGTATGTTGTCGGTCGATTCAATTCAATTCAATTCAATTCAATAATGTATTGCAAAACCATAATGTACATAATAAGATGTTACAAATGTAGTGAGACCAGTATTATGGGCCCTGTCGGGCACGCAACATACGAGCTAGGAGAGAGGAAGCGCAATTTTATAGTAGTATTTTATACATATATAGTAAGTATTCTATTCTATTCGGCTTAGTATACGACAGTTTGACGTTCGGTTCGGTTATTGTGAATAAAAATGAAAAGAAATCCTACGATGTCAAGTCGAATCAGTCGAAAACTGAGTTATCGTATGGTTCTGAATCGAATCACAGGAAGCGCTCCCTTTACTATGAGTACTAGAGAAAGGTACCAACACACTCTGGCACTGCCCAGATCGGCCAGACCGGAAACAATTTAGAAAAATCGCCCTAAATTACAAATAATAATAATAATAATATCGTTCATTGCAAATATGTTGTTACATTTAGATCCTATAGTAGTTGGTAAAGTATGGAACATGTACTCTGTAAGGGCTCAGCAATGCCAGTTTTAACATATACATTATTAATTATAATATTATTACAATGAAAGTAAATAAATCTTAGGAAATATAATTCAGAAAGAAAATGATTTAATTTTAAAATGATTGTCAAATTTAATTTAATATATAAAGTGAGTAATACAATACAGTATTTATTTTATGTAATCAACAAAGATTTTCTGCGTTTTTATACGTCTTTTATCAACGTGTTAGGGCGCGTTCCCACTATGTCGTGACGACAGATTGTCGTGCATTTTACAGTGTCGTGGCGTGTATATTTACATGAAGTTGTTCACATATAGCACGACACGATTAACTGTCGTTCTTCATTCGCATCACGCGTCTATTCATTTGGTCAAGTATTGCTTATTTGGTAGTAATTGTTTCGGACGGAGATCGAGAGTAGACCTTCAGGTTTTGATAATACCGAAAAGAATGCAACTTCGTATACCGTTTGACATAACCCTAATGGAATTCTTTTTAGTAGCATTGGATGTACCCAAAACTTTCTTTTCTTTGTTTGCTTCCTCTTCCGCATTTTTAAAAAGTAATACATTATTAAAATTTCGTCTTAAACTATTTCGAGCGAACACACACTACCGGCTTCCAAAAGAACATACAAGCGACTGCAGTGCATCAAACGATTCTGTCGTGCAAACGACAAGGAGATTGTCGTGAAACGATAAATTGTCGTCACGATCTAGTGGGAACAGCTAGTCACGACAGTCGTTCAATGATAAAAAATCGTCCACGACACATAGTCGTGATATGGGAACAGGCTAGACACGACAGTCGTCCAACGATAATAAAACGTGACGACATAGTGGGTACGCGCCCTTATGGATAGTATAAAAGCCAATTACAGAAACTCGCCATACAAAATATACGATATGTTTATAATATCAATAATAACGAACACACGCATAGCCCCGCACTATCCCTCTACTCACGTGCCATGGATATACACAAAGACAACCATAAATCACAGCCAAACTCACTAGAGAAATAAATGTAGGCCATACAAATATTTCTCCTTAAGTACACAACCGTGCATTGGATAGAGAAATAAATTAAAATGAGTACTATAAAAAAACTTAATTCATATCTAACTGTAAATTATCGATATACATTGCCGTGTATGTGTAACTGTGTATATCTGCCAACCTTGCCTCAAAGATTGTACTAGCAAGGTAAAACAAAGTAAGAAATCGCTTGCATCGTTAGTACAAGTTGCTCGGCTTACAGGGCGCATTATAAAAAAAGAACAAGGGAGCTGGTGAAATTACAGGCACATCGGACTTCAACTTATGTCTCAGGGTGACGGGCGCAGTGGCAGTGCCCCTCAGATCTTTGTGATTTAAAGCACTGAGTGGTATTGCAACTGTTATGTTATGGCATGTCACTTACTACCAGGTTCGTCGCGTCACTTAGTAAAAAAAACTAGCTGAAACAGAAACATGCAAAAAGAAGCGTTAAAGATTTTTGACTATTAATCTACTAAACAATATTTTATTTGTACTTAGTCTCTACATATTTCTATGTTTTTTTCATTTTCCCCTACCACCAATAAAACCCTACCATTAGCAAAAATTAAATATTTCGAAAGTTTTCCGACAGCTTGCGCACCGACCCTTTGCGCGCCGGCAGTTACAAATACTGACTTCGTTATTTGTATTTTGTGAACAGGTTTAGTGGAGGTCCCACGTCTCAACTGGAAACGATCGAGCTGCGAGGTTTCGATGAGCCCACCAAGAAAAATGGAACTTCGAACACCAAAGATGAGGTAATGCTTTCCTAAGTATTATTATATTATAGTGGTAATTGAACCAACATCTGCCGTCCTGATTTTTTCTTCCGATACGATGAAATGATCCTTATAAGAAACTGAATCGATCAGCATTAAAAATAATTGTCAATATTGTTGGTTTTTATGGACAATTCATGCTTGACCAAAAAATTCGATATGTCAAATTTGTTTTCACGAAAAAAGACCTAATGGTTCCCAAGACAGTTTCCCTGTATCTCCTATCGTTTCGGATTTCCCCATACTACTATGCTGTCCCATTAAAAAAAACAGTCTATATGTAACGCAATCGGTTACAAATGACACTGCGGTAAAGCCATACATTTGAGTTCACTAATTTTGACGAAGAATTGACCCAACCGAGTGTTATTGGTACAGAAATGGAACAACGGCGGTTCTCGTTCGCCGGAGCGCTGGCGCAGCGAGGCCGTCTCGTCACCAGTGCCGCAGAACAATAACGACGCAGCCAACAATAGCAATGTAAGTTACTGGTGGTTTCGGATTCCAAAAAAAAAAACTCGTTTGTATATCGCTCATTTTTTAAATAACTGTCATAATCATAACACGGAAAGGTCAACTGACTGAAGATTGGATAATATGTAAATATAAAAATGTTCAAATGTGTTTCAGAATAAACAAAACCACTACAGGTTTGAGTTGTTACCCCAGCTCGAATTAAATTTTTTTCCGTACTGATACGGTTCATTTTGCTTGGGTCTAGCGACAGGGACAATGGCTTTATTTCAGAATTTATTTTTTACAAACGAAATCAAAGCCTTTTGAAAAATGTATCTCGTATAGTAGACGTATTCTATTTAGTCAGTTGATATAAAAAAAAAAACATTGGTATATGCAAAATGCCTATTGAATACAACGATTTTCTTGTAAAATTTCCTGATAAGCCTGTTTTTTGTGAATTGTGTGAATCGTGTTTTCATATCGTGTAGTAATCAGTGTATATCCTCAATTATACTATTTTTTCCAAAGTGATTTATTCAACGCTTTGACTGTTATGCGGAATAAACTAAAGCCATTTAAGGTTGTGTCGACTCTTGTCACAGCGTCCTCACGATGTCAAATTGAAATGGGTTTTCTTAAAACAGCTTTTTCTGTGTTTTTTAGAGGATGGAAAGACTCAATAAAAAGCTTTGTCAAATCTATTAAATCGTATTAGTGATTGTGATAACGACCTTAAGTCTCCTTTAAATAGGATAAGGACTCCGGTGTGGAGTCGAAGACCGACGAACCTCAACCAAACCCCGAGCAGCCGGACTTCAACCTCGATGAGTTCCTCAAATTCGATTCCATTCCAGACGTCCTCACTGTAAGTTGCTCCTCAACAAAAAAAATCTTAAACATGCCCGGAAATGTGCGCTTTTCTTTTGAGCCCGCGAAGAACCAGGGCCCCGGTTCTGCTAATTTTCTTTCAACCACTTGTCATTGTAATTCTATTGAGACTCCACTGAGATTATATTGCAATTATTATAATACCGCCTTATATAATAATAATTGAAATAATTGAAAGGGGGTACGTGACATTTTATCAAAAAAATTGTTATATTGCTAGATTTGAACCATTGAGTATATAACCAGAAATAGAGACGAAATAAGTGCCATCCAACCCTGGCAACTCATCAAACAAATGAGCCTTATATCACTTTTAAAATATCAATTCTCATTTGCGTTGAAATCACAAATTAGAAAGCTGAAATAATACAGCGCCAATAACTGACCTGTGTGTACGTCTCCGTACATTCCAAAAATATTTTTAACAATGAACACTGTTCCATTCGGTGGTGTGGGAAAAACAGCAAAACATCTGATTATTTCATCGTTAATTAAATATTTAATGTCATTCATTATAACGAAGCTCAAGTTAAACTGATCGATTTGAAGTTAAACAATTGACGACACCCGTGAATTGTTTCGAAATCAAAAATGAGTGTGCAAGAGCGAGGGATGATTTGAAATTAAGAATAGAAGACGAGCGCGATGGGTTTTGTTTTATATTTTGTTATATATAGGACGTACGACGGAACATGTTTGAGCTGGAGAATAAATGACTTTAGACCTTATCCCTCTTCTTGATTGTTCCACATGTATACTACTACTACTACCGTGATCAGTAAAAAAAGGCCGATCTGTCACTATTTTCTCTTTCGTGGATAAGGCATGAAGTTACCGCAAGAAAAATTGGATATTTTTAAATTTAATTTCTTTAAACATTATTTTCTCAATTTCGAGTTTTTCTCAAAAGCTTGATTGAAAGGGCTTTCAAGTAACGACGGCAGAACATTTGTTATTCTGCTAAAATCTAGTTTCAATAACAGTTGAGTCTCAAAAAGTGTCAGTGGAATGCCAATGATGACATTCATTCATTCAATCACTGGTGTTGTCTTAATTAAAATGGAAGAATGCATATCTTAATTTTTTACTCGGTTATACAGCCATTTACTCTTCAATTTAAATATATTTTCTTTATGTCAATAATTAGTATAGTCTGTCTTTTTTTAAGTCGGAGTAAAATGACAGTTCATTGCGTAAAAGTGTTGCCCGCTTGCGAGCAGCTAGTGATTGCAGTCGAAAAATATTCTATCGACTATCGACTAAATATTGGTCACGGTTATGGAATAAATAGCAGAACTTGTTTCATTTGAATTGTCAAGTTTTGTAAGTTCATACATACATACACCCTATTTAGAACTACATATGTATGTTTATAAAAAATACAAAGAGGAGACATATTTGAAAGTTTTCATTTTAATTCAAAATAGATAATCAAATCCGCCTATTCTTGTTAAAAGTAGGCCAACTGAAAAAATAAGAATAAAGACGGCAGTAACGCAATTAGTAATCCTTAGAACGTCGTAACATTCACAATTCAATAATTTTTGCCAAAATTTTATCTTCTTTCACAATCTATCGATAAAACTATCGACAACAACTACATAATTATTTAAACTTTTATGAATACTGGCAACCGTACAAATGTCATTTTACTCCGTCTTCAAAAAAACATTATAGACTACGTCATCGACATGCCATCGCCTCGCCATTGAAGAGCAGAATACCAATAAAATGCAATGGCAATTGAAGTACCTCGATGGCTAGTCACTGACAATCCACTACTCTTAACTTTTAACAGTTTACTAAAGCATAAAAATTGACACTATCGACACATAACTAAGATGATTTCAAATTAGCAGACATGAGAACCAGGAATGTTTTTTCTTTAATTAAACTCGAGTTAAAAGTAAGTTCGAGTAGTAACCTGTTTTCAGTTTCTCTGGGCTTTTCACGTTGCTTTAAATCCACTCTACTACCTCAACGTGAAAGCCCTAGATTAAATGGCAGATTCAGATGATGCGTGTTATAAGATTGACATTGCATTGTTTGTACTTGCCTACATTTCATAGTGTTGTAATTGCCAACCGGTTTCTGGGCTTTTCATGTTCCTTTAAATTACAGTATACCTCAAACGTGAAAGCCCTATATCGAATGGCAGATTCAGATGGTGCGTGTTATAAGATTGACATTGCATTGTTATGTACTTGCCTACATATTATGGCCTCTTAATAGATAAAGTGTTGTAGCACAGTGGGAAGGCAGTCGCTTCTCAAATATGAGGTTAACCGTTTGAATACTTATGCCAGCATGTAACGTCATGCGAATATGTTTGTATTTTATGTTAGACATAAGTATTTTAGGCTATCAACGCAAAACCCCATGAAATGCGTATGGAAGCTGCGGTCATCCACAAGCCAAACGTAGAAAATCCTGTCATTGACACTCTAACGACTCACAACTGAGATAATTTAAGATTACCTGACCTGGGGTCCTGATTTTTGCCACACTACAAAATTTAAAACACAGCCAACCTTGTCAGCGAAATCCTTATGAAGCGCATCTTTTTATCGCTTCATTAAACTTTTGTATATTTGACCTTTTCATCGTAGTGACTAAAGCCAAGTCGTCAATTCTTACTAATAAGCATATAATTTTAAAATGAAACAATAGACCAATAACATATATAAATTGTAATCCAGTATGTAAACCCGTAAAAACATACATCTGAAAAGATAACATTTCGCCCGTTACGTATTCACTTCTATCTCACATCATTTTTTTTTCGAACAACTCTACCAAATTTTTTAGTGTTGCCATTTTGTTTTTTTTATTATTGATTATACCCAAATCGAATTATAACTATTTTTTATATCCGATAGCTATTCCAAGTAGCAATAAGCATTTTAAACTAACGGCCGTATTCCAGAGACTTGAGTATGATTTCAAGCACTGGAAATACGACCCTAATGTCTTGGATATTAATGCCTAAGGACTTGAGTATGATTTACAGTACTTAAAATCATACTCAAGTCCTGACTTGAGCGTTGAGTAGAGTTCTAGAATACGACCCTTAATAATAGATTTTGTTAACATACTCCCTAACTTTCCAGTGTATCAAAATTTAATTTGTGTTTTCGATTCAACAGAACGGTGGCAGCGAATCTGAAGGAGGGAGCCGCTTTAGCCGCTGGTTCCGCCGCGAGAGTCCCACCAACGATACCAGGCACTACGATCGACTTCTACATAATATCGTTGATGGTGAGTGTTTATAGTTTATTTCTTTACAACTCAACCCATATCATCTATACCTAGGTATTACGTATCTGTGTAGTGTTTTCGGCTGCTTTTGTTGTGTAACCTTGTATTAACACTATAAATTTTGACACGTTCTTGTCGTAGTGGTATAGAGTTGAATTTGAATCTTTAACAATTTGTGCACAATAAAAATTTTTTAAATTGTCTTTGATCTCACACTTTCGTCGCCCTTGTCACAGACCTGGACAGCTCCACCCGCCTCGAGCAACCGCCGGCGCCTGCGCCGGAGCCGGCGAACGTGTTTGCGCCCATCTCCCCGGCGGCACCGCCATCTCTGCTTGAGCTGCTGCGACGGGCCAACGCTAACGCCGAATCTAGAGCTGGTAAACCTTAGTAACTGTAGTCGGAAATGAGCTCAGAAAATGAGATTCTGATTTAAGTGTATGTTGTGTTTTTATATTTATTGGAATCGCTATTCAGGGTGTATATTTTAAAGTGAGACATGTCATAGTAAATCATGTTACAACTTAACATAGACTAAACTAAAATTAGGATATGGGATAGAACAAAAAATAAATCAACAAATGTGTTTTGGAGTGTACATAGGAATAAACCGATTCCCTTTACGCTTGATTTCAAGTGCAAGGGGAATACTACCGAGCGAGCGCTGAGTGAGACAGCAACAATAACAATGATTTCACATCTCCCTTCCTACTTTTTCGCGGGTTTAGGACCGACAAAGCGCCTCATTTCTCTAGAAAATAAAAACTAAGTTACTTAGGTTAGTAATTCATTTATGTTATGATGGAAAAAGCTGTTTTCAAAATTATTAAATTTTAGCTTATGTTAATTATTTTTTACTTTAACTATCATCGAAATGTTTTACGTACTAAAAAAGATAACTTTATGATTTAGTAACTAATTAACATTTAATAAGAATTGAGGTTTTTGGTGTAGTTAAAAATGTGAAATCAAGTTATTTACAATGAGTGATTTTTTAGTTATTTACAATTTATTTACACTTACGTGGTACGGAACAAATGTTCAAAATTTTCCACAATGCATAGCGTAGCATGGCATAGTAAATTTTGTTTTAAATTGCTCAACACAAACACATTTTGTCTCACAGTATAACATGCTGAGATAATCCTCTCACGCAACATTTCGACACTGTTCACCTCCTCCGCGTAAACTCCGATTCGGGAACATTTCTCCGAACATTTCAATAGCTTGCCTCACACCATCACCACTTAATGCGTAAAGTCGCACTATCTGAGTCAATTCGACGTTAGAATAAGTATCCATTTTGCGGCGATCGGGCGAGCGGAAGTACAAATAATTTACGTGTCTTCTTTAGATCAAGGTCGCGCGCGCACTGTCTCTGCAAACAGCAATTTCGCGTATGCGCCCGCGCCCCCACCCCCGACCAGTGATTTGTTTTTCGTAGATTTCGATAACTAATGTTGTTCAAGTAGTAGTCGATAAAAAAAAATTATAAAGTTTAAATTCATTACTTTATTATTTCTTTGGGTTCAGAATCAGGAATATAACGCATTTTAAGTATGTCTCACTTTGAAATATACAGCTTATATAAAAAAAAAATTACCGTATAGTGGGGACCTGCATTGTATGCATAGGCTCTCAAAATGACTGTAGATCTCTATTGTTGCTTTTCGGTGTCTTTATAGGTGAGAAAACTTTATACATAATTCGAGTCACCTTGCATTTTGATCAATCAAACATCGTTTACGCTTAATTCATTTAATACTGAAAATTAAAAATAGTCGAATTATGTGTGGGGTGTAGGTGGATGGTGATGATATCTTGGATCATTCTAGACCTTTATGCCAATTGTTATTGTTACAGAATTGAACTCAGTGGGTGGTGCAAACGCGAACGCTGGTGGTGCAGGCAAGATTCACAGCCTTGAAGAGCTCGAGGCTCGTCTACGCCCGCACCACTCGCAACCCATGCCGCAACCGGATCACGATCTCTCCGCCTTCAAGCGCCTAGTTAGTATACTTTATAACGAATAAAGATTTTTGAAGATTCCGGATTCGATTCCTGTGAAGGCTAACCTGAAATATTATTTAATAATATACTCGAATACTTAATGTAACAGTAGTGGCATTAATTAATTCAGTCACTAACGATCGATGTTGCTTTACTAAAACTACCATTGACATTACATGCATATCTTAATTTTCACCTCGTTTAAAAAGCAATTTAGTAGACTACGTCACGGACATGCCTTCGACACGCCATTGAAGAGCAGAATACCAATAAACTGCAATGGCAGTTTGAATAGTAGCTCGATGGTTAGTCACTGACAATCTACTACCCCTAACTACTCTTTTAGTACCAGTAGAGCTCCTTGTGCATTACTGTGTTTCAGTTTTGAAGTTTGCTTTATTGACTGTCCGGAATTGCTATCACAATTATCACTGGAAATTCCCTTTAATTATCTTAGAAACAATTTACTTTTGGTTCTACTTCCCGCCCGAACTAACTACAGGCAAAATGCGATTATGTGGCGTGCAAGCAATAATTTTTAATATTTTATGTGATACTTTTGATCTTGACCTTTTCAATACAAGTGTGATTTCGACAATGAGAGCACTTCTTTGACTCTTAGTGAGACTTTCAACTTCTGTGGTTTTTCTTTTTTTTAATGTTTTATATAATACAGCAAACGTATAAAATGTAAAGACAAGGTAGCTCAAGCTTTTGAATCGTTCTTTTGGGAAATTACTGTGAACACTACAGAATCACTAAATTCCTCCCCTTCTCTTGCTATTGATCTCCTAAAGGAAAATGTTAACGTTTGTGGCAGTTTATTTAATTTCAGTCATGTTAATCCACAAGATTTACTGAAACGATTAAATGAAATACAGCAAGGTTATTCCCTTATTCAAAAGCGGTAGGAAAGTTGATCCATGCAACTATAGGCCTATTTCAATTTAACCAGCTTTAAGTAAAATATTCTAAAAGATTATGCTGACTCATATTCATAGTGAACAATACGGGTTTACTCACTAGTTAACCCGTATTATTCACTATGAAAAATATGATCAAACTTACAAAATCCTGCCATTGATACTATTGACACGCAGCCGAGATCATTTCGCTTACATTAATGTTATTGTAATTTTGGCATAATTAAATTAAGTATCTAACACATTGTGTTAATGTTTTAATTGAATAAAATTGTTCCAAAATTACAATTACGTTAATGTAATTGTAATTTTGAGCAAAATTTAATTAAATGTCTAACACGTGTGTTAACATATTTAATTCAATGAAATTGTTCCAAAATTACAATTACGTCAATGTAATTGTAATAATATTTATAATTATTCGTCAATGTAATTGTAATTTTAGCAAAATGTAATTAAGTATCTAACACATTGTGTTAATATATTTAAATCAGTAATTGTAATTTTGGCTAAATTTTATTATGTATCTTAACACATTGTGTTAATTTATTTTTACAATTACGTCAATGTAGGACCAAATGAGCGATTTGAAATTGAAGACTTGGGGCCCTGTACTTAGCAGTGGGTTGTCGATGATAATGATGATGATTGTGCTAATAAAAGTGCAAGACATGTTGCTTGTTTTACATACGTGTTTAATGCACAATGAGAATATGATATATGGCTAATATGATCAATAGAAAGATCTGTAATTAGATATTTCTCATGCAGTTGGCGCAAGTGTCCGGCGGTCATGCAGTTCCGGCCGCCGAGCAACAGCGCGCCCCGCACCAGCCTCAGCCGATGAGTCTACTTCAGGTTGGTCTACTCTCTTTTCTACTTCAAGTTATATACCTTAATATCCCACCCTGGTGCTTTGCAGAGTAGATATGAGCGCCGCGTCGGCGCGCTGTCGCCGCCGAGTTACCCCCCGCGCCACAAGTGCTACGCCAGAATTTGACATTTCTAAGATAAAACTTAGTGACTTTATATTCGAAGAGGTTTTGTTTAAAACATTAATTAAGTACCTATATTGCAAATTTACATTTTCAGTTTGTAACAGTAGTATTATGCAAAGCAACAAAAAAAACGGTTACTTACGCTAGACTGGTATTTACTAAAACACACGGTAAAACTACCCGCGTACAAGGTGTAAGCACTCGTATTGACGCGAGTATTTCACTTTCGTTTCTCGCTTGCGTTGATATCTAGCAAGCTCGATATTTCCACGCAAGCAACAAGGAACGTTTGCGGAGGACAGCACCACTGGCCAATCACAAAGCAGCACCCAGTTCGAGAGTGTCGACAACCTAAACAAGGCAAGTCTCTCCGCAACGCAAAGCGGAAGACTCGTGATCGCCTTTGCGCGGAAGGCAGATTTCTACGCCGTGTACCCAGCATACGCAAGCAAGCGAAAAACGCAAGTAAAAGACGAGAGAGACGTGAACCCGGCTTTATGGTGTAAATCTCTGTTCCGTTTTACGCACTAAGTATCGGAGCTATTTATTTTAATCTTTTTTTTTCTTTCTACTTAATATACTGTAACTTTTATTTAAAATTACAACTGCAACGAATATTGTTTGTTTTTGGTACATTATGACAAATTTACTTTTCCTTTTTGTAACATGGTTGAGGGATTAGTTAAAAATAATATGCGTGGAACGTAATAGTTGGAAATGTCACAGACCTCTTCGTATGTGAAATGGACTATAAAAGCCGTGAAACAAAAGTTGTTGTTTATTAAAGTACCCAACACGCTCATCAAGTTTCGTATAAATTCATAACTACGTTGAAGGAGCTAATTGCTGTACATTGTTGTCAATACGTGACGTGCAGTAAAATTTATGGAATGTCTAATTTTACGACACAACTCGGCATTTGTATTTCGAAATTCGAAATTTTTAAAAATGAAATCTAATACGATTACAAATTCACAACTTATGGGATCGCTGGCCAGCATAACTTCTGCCTCCGGCAAACTCACGTCAAAGCTCAATGCAAAACAAAGTAGTTACGAATTGACGATATTAAGTAAGTAAACATTTTTATTTTCGTTTTATTAAAACTTTTTAATCAGCTACCCCTTGCAATACTCGTTATAAATCTAAAAAGTTTGATTATATTGATTGACTTTGATTGACTTTGATTATATTTTTTTCGATATTGAATTGAGATTTGACCTCGATATTGTAATCTGTTAAAAGGTCCAAAATAGCGTGCCGGTACTATAATAGTATAGTCCTGCGGAGTTGTTAGCATTCAAATAATCCTGTAAAAAAGATCATTGATCGGTCCGATCGAACAATAAGGTTCTTTTTGGCTGAAATTGGTATGACGTCAGTTCTTATAAAATATCTCGCCAAACCTTAATTAAGTTCGTTACTTGAGTAAGGATTCCTGTGTCGTCTCATAACACCGTAACGGTCTATGAAGAAGATGTCTTGTTGCAGATGCTGAACAAGAGCATGGAGCAGCAGCAGAAGGTGCACGCGCCTGCGCAGCCGCACATCCCGCAGGAGCTCCTTTACAAGCTCCTGCAGGTGCAGCAGGTGACTGTATGTCGTATATTCCACGTTATTATAATGAATTATATCGATTCCTTACTCTCCCAAACTCGTATCCTATAAAGAGTGACTATTCAGGAGATGGCAAAGCTTTCTGTTTATTTTAAATTTCTTGTCAAGGGTGTTAATTTGGATATTCAAGAAAGGTGATGTGAAATCAGCCTGCAAAATTTGTATATGCAATCCATTTTTTGCATTCAAGTAATTTTGTGCTTTAAGATACGAGTTTGTCAAAGTAAGGCGACGATATTCTATTGTAGATCTTTTGTGAATTCAATGATATAATATGATTTCTATGATTAGAACAAAAACTGGACGTTTTTTTGTTTTGATTTCTAAAAGTTGACATTTAAATTAGTCGTTAAGGCTGATTACACGTGGCGCCGCAGGGATTGCGGCGTCATGCCGCAGTACCAGCGGTGCGACTGCACCTCATGCGGCGTACTTAACTAAAATGTTACATTAGTAAAGTATTGCGCTGCCGTGGTATCAGGTAACGACACCGCCGCAGTGCGTGTATACAAATGCAAGGTCGACTAAAACTGCGGCACCGAAGTTTCGGCGGTGCCGCTGTTGTTACGGCGCCGTGTGTAATCGAAGCGGCCTCTGGTTATAATATCAATATTGTCATTGCGGCATAGATATAGGCTGTTCTAATCCATTTTAAACGACATGTAAAACAAAAGGGTTTCGTTAAATTTCTAAAGCTATTATTCAATAAATCGAAAAAGCAACACTTTCACGTATATTTCGAAGATTTTAACTTGATATCAGATTTTCGAAGAATATTAACTTGAATAACATCGTAAAATCGTATGTGAAAAATGGTAGTCAAAAACTGAGGTTATTTTTTAATTAAAGATGTGTAAATAGTTTATGGTTGCATAGTGCTGCACGGAAAAAACATTCATTTCATTCATCGAACCAGAAATAGAGACGAAATAAGGGCCATATATTCCTGGTAACACATTAGCGATACAGCTCTTATAAATACGAGAGTTGATCTCGTTTGCACTGAAATATAGACATGCCAACTACTGACCTGTGTGTACGTCTCCGTATATTCCAAAAAATATTCTGTACTTGGTACTTGGTACTTGGTGCAACGGGCTGGTGTCCGCAACTCGACGTCAAGGCGCCTATTTTGCGTGTGGAAAAATATTCTGTATTTATTGTAATAAAGATAATATCTCTAACAATGGCGTGCTGTTCTATTCGGTGGTGTAGGAAAAACAGCAAAACATCTAATTACAAAACAAACGGAATCACATTTCATCGATAATTATATATTAAATATGTAATTTTGCAATTTTCGTCCATTATCAAAGCTCAAGTTAACTGGTCGATTTGAAGTGAAACAATTAACGAAACCCATTGACGACACCCGTCAATTGTTTCGAACTCGGGCTAGCCAATCGGAGCGCAGTTGTCACAGTAATGATATGGCAGAATAGTTTTCAAACAAATTAAATGACATTTCGTCTCTATTTCTGGTTATATACTCGATGATTTCATTCAATTAACGTTTTTGTAATCGATTAGTAAATTGAAAATTTCAATCGCAATCAAACGAGTATCTGAGTGCAAGGATTTCAAAGGGAATTTAAAACTAAGGTTTCGGAAATTTTAAACATGCGTTTATAGGTTACGTAATGAAAACCGCTAGTATGACTCAATTAAACAAATCTACTCACTCAATTAATTAATTGATTTGTAATTGGCATTAAAATGGGCCATCAGTAAACCGTCTATGGTCGGGTCAGTGACGTGTTTGTTTACGTGTTGTTTAAAATGGATTGAAACGAAGTATAGTTTACAATCCGGGTGTCAGGGTGTAAGATTGACATTTATAAAACGAACTTTGACTTCGACTAAGCAGAAATGGCTAGTCAAGCAAGATTGTCGTATATACAAATCTAAGTTTAAGCAAGACATTTAATTAAAGTTTATCTTTACTTCGTAATTGTACTCGTAATATTTTACTTAATGAAATGTTGTATTGAGTGTATTGTGTTGCTTCAACAGCAGCAGAGAGCGGCAATGCAGGCGGGAGAACTGCCACACGCGCCCGCGCCCGCACCCACGCCCGCGCCCATCGCGCAGGCCGACCGCGACCTGCTGCAGCGGCCGGAGGCGCAGGCCATTATTCACGGTATGGCCACCACTTCACAATGCTCGTCTACCATCGAGTATATAATTAGAAATAGACGAAATATCATTTAATTTGTTTGAAAACTATTCTGCCAAATCATTACGGTGAGAACTGCGCTCCGATTGGCCAGCCCGAATTCGAAACAATTGACGGTTGTCGTCAATTGTTCAGCTTTCTAATTTGTGATTTCAGAGCAAACGAGAGTATATATTTAACAGTGATATAAGGCCCATTTGCCTAATGAATTGCCAAGGATGCCCCTTAATTTGTCTCTATTTCTGGTTATATACTTTTATTATACCTTTACTATACTCCGTCCAAGCATTTATTTAACTTTTAACAGCTCGAATTCTAATCAATTAGTGATGTCCTAATGCGTTTCCGATTCGATTTTTTTTTATAACCATCGATTTCATTTCTGAACAAGTTTAAATCGTGAATGTGAGCGGGTTCAAAAAAGAAGACATTCTCTGATTGGGTACGTGATGTTGCGTTTGACAATTTGTGTACTCGAGAAATGTTAATAATTAATGTTAATGAGGATTCAAGTGTTGATTCCCGTTCATGTGGAAAAGAATCCGACGATTCTAATAAACAATTTTTATTGTTTATTGGAATCGTCCGATTCTTTTAATTAAATAATACATAAAAATGTTAATGTGTTTTAATTTCATTACAATTTATTAGACAGATACCAAAGTTTACCAACTTGCATAATCTTCGTTACATAATCTGTTGGCTCGATAAATATCGGAGCTAAAGAGCAAGTCGCTTCACTAAAATTAAAAAAATAAAAGTAATAAAAATAAAAAAGTAAGTACAATATTTGTACAGCCTACATTTATTTTTCTCATGAGTTTGGGTCTAATTTGTGGTTGTCTATGTGTATCTTCATGGCACCTGCGATACAGCGTTTCCCTAGTGCGGGCCTATGAGTATGAGTTATTATTATAAAGTAGGAAACTGTTGTCATTCGAAAATATTGTTATAGAAAGTTCATCGACAAATAATGTATACATGTACAGGTCTAAAAGCGGGCGAGATCACAGTCCAGCACCTGATGCAGCAGTTAGGCAACCCAGGACTGCAGAGCCGCCACCGCGAGGTGCTGCTCACCATCCTGCGCTTGCACCAGCAGCAGAGACAGGTTAGCATGTTCAACATGACATGTTTTCTTATTTAATATTAAAGAATGTATTCATCGATTCTTCGATTCTATAAAGCAATAAATATATTATTTCATGCAACATTTTATATTCAATCAATATAATTAAGAGTCGATACTACCTCAGCTCGAATTAAATTTTTTCCCGTATTAAAAAATAAAATAAAATAAAAAGACATTTAATCCTCCACACAAAATATAAGTAACACAATACTTAAAAAACGAATAGAAAAAAAAAGTATTGAGTGATACGAAAAATATGCTTCTATAATAAGATTCCTACTGAAATTCAAAATTTGCCATTTACGAGGTTCAAAACTATACTGAAACAAAAACTTTATACTAAAGATTTTCTGTTATACAGCTTCTGTGTAATTGGATGCCAAAAATCAGTGGTAGGGACCCGTTTAGCTCTTTCAAGTATTCTCGATCTAAGATGTTTAAATTAAATATTGTAATGATAAATGTATTTAAATGTATATGTACAAAGAGCAACCCCTAAAGTTTCTTGCTCATTCTTCTCAGGGGAATCTGCCTTACGAATGAGTAGTAGAGTTTAATCAGTATGACGATTTCAAGTGTAATTTGTTTACCTGTGAAATTAAAGATTGTGACTTTGACATTTAACATGTCATTTGTATTGTACACAACAGCAGCAGATGGGTGGGTCCCCATTGCCGACAGGCGTAGGTGTCGCGAACCCGGCGGCACACCTGGTCGTGCCGCCGCACCACCAGCCGCTGCGTCTCTCGCCGCTGCCTCATCCCGGTAAGTTTTCTTCACTACCGACGTAAGACGTAGTGTAAATAGGGTTCATGCTTATAGATTCTCCTTTTTTATGTCATTGTAGAAGGCTCTTTTACAATTATATTAAGTATTCAATTGATTCAGTTGACCAGCTAACTGACAGCGAAAATATTCTTTATTAAATTTACAATAAATACTAAATAGTTCCTGTATTTTGTTAAACTTAAGTCAGGTTATAGTGAATTTTAAATCTTATACATTTCCGAAAACCATGCCCTGGGATTCAAATTCTAAGGTTCGGAATGCGTTGCGTCAATGTATAAGATTTGTCTTTTCACTCTTAAGTTCAGACAGGCTTTCGAATAACACTATTTGGAGGTTGAAGTCGAATAATCCAATATCATGGGATAGTCTGTTTTTGAGCACGAATCTTCGCCGTCTGTTGGCGGCCTAATAAGCCAAAGTAAAAATCATAGATGATAAAAAGCTTACTGACATAAGTAACAGGCTTTGCTCCTTTTCTTGCTGAAATTATTTATTTAAATAAATAACACAACCGCAACTACAGTCGCAAACACCACCAACAGAAACATATACGACAAATAATAGATCCTCGTGAGTTTTTGTAGCTGAACGAGTCTTCGGTCGAGCGTGTGTGCACTGTTTGTAACTGTAGTTGTGCTCGTGTTATTTATTATGTTAATTTTATACAGAGGGAGGATGGGATAAGTAACTGCATGAAAGAAAAAACAAGCGCAGCTATTTTGCACTATTAGGTACGCGGAGTAGTAGAGTAGCAAACGAATATACTTCCATTTTTAACCGACTTCAAAAAAAGGAGGAAGTTATAGGATTACTCCAACATTTGTTAACCGAATTTCGATGATTTTTTTAGCGGTCCCAATCATATTCGAAGAAAATATAACACCTATAAGGGTGGCAAAATGGGCATGAATCCGGTTTTTTGGATTTCACTCGCTTTTCGCTTACCGATTTAAAAAAAAAAACTTGGCAAACAAAATGTACTTCCACAAACTTTTGAGGACGGTTTTTTTAATAAATAAGTTATAAAATAATCGAATTCTTATTTTTCACGATTGTTATACATAGGAAATTAAACTATTTTTCGGGATTTAAATCGCGTATATTTGGTTTTTCAAAGAAACCAATGTTTCGGGCCTTGTAATGTTGATGAGTCAACCATGACCATGGGACCTGCAAAAGTCAAAAGTTAAATCCGGAAAAATAGTTTCACGTCCTAAGTTATAATTACTCGTATTATTAATATGGATTTCCACAAAGTAACGCCTGAATCTATTAATTATTAAAAGTATCCATACATTTTGAACTTAAAAACTATTTTGTATACGAGCTTAATAATTCCATAAGTATAACACAATTTTCAATACTCTCTTCAAAATTGGCTATGACTTGTTTTAACCAAAAATTTCACTGCGGACGCAGCGTTTTGCGTGTCCCCGATTATGCCGACTAGCCCGAACACGCTCGCCGTACATCATCCAGGTAGGTGCCGTAATGGTCTTCACCAGCTGAAATTTCCATAGCATAGAATTATTAGGTACTTATTTAACTAATTTTAAAGACTGACCAGTTATTATTGAGCCTAGACATGTTGCAGGAATGTTAATTATTAAATTAAGACCATCTTGCTGCATGGCTCCTTCTTATTGGCTAAGTCGAGAAAAAAGTTAAAAGAACTTAACGTTACTTACAAATCTAGAAAATTCGGACCCACTTCGGATGTCGCTTGTGCACTAAGTCCATTTTGAATCCAAGAAAATACGAATATCGCTTGTACACCTATAGATAAAATGATCCTTTGACATTTCGGACTGTCATTTCTCGGATTCGGAAATGATACGAATCGGACGTAATGTGCAAACGCTCTAATAAACTGACCTTTTTCCGAATTCCGAATTTCAGTAGTCAAAAATTCTGTATTGAGGGCGGTAAATAAGGAATAAGGAGACTATTAGAAGCCCGAAGTGCTTTCGGAGTCGAGGTTCGTAATTCCCGTACCGCGTCCGTGAAACATACAACGTTTTTCATCACACTTGCACGTAAATAGTGTGATTGCAAGCAGGCTAACTTTAATGACCCAAATAAAACCCCTCGGGCCTTTTACTTCTCATTACCGACCACAAATGTAATGAGAAGAAAAAGACCTGACCATGACCGTAATTTTTTGAGATATCATAAAAACCATAACCCAGTGTTTAAGTATTGAAATTGTTTAATTATGTTTCAGCTATGCATCGTTAGGGTAAATTCCGATAAGTCAAACACGTTAACTAATTTTAACTGTTTTTAGAAGATAATTTTGTGCTCTATCCTTTGCTATTTAAAACGGATATTTGACCATTTGTCACAGAATAGTCAAGTTAGCCTGCATGCAATCGTACTATTTACGTGCAAGTGTGATGAAAATAGTTTTACTGCATCGTAGGATAAAACTGTCCCCTTAGAGTGCTTGCAAGACAGGGAGCGACTTGCGCGAGAGGTATCTACCTACGCTACTACTAACAACCTTGCAGGACTAGATTCTTAACTTCACAACACAACAATAGCTTTCGTTCCGTGACCTTTAACAAAACATGATAAATTTAGCAAAAAAAATTTTTTATTTTATTATCTTACACTTTTTAGATCTGTATTTGGTAGTAAGGTAAGTAAGCAAGACATTGCATTTCCAATCCACCCTGATCGAAGGATTTTTTTTAAGTCTAGTAATCTTTGTATAAATAATTCAATAATTTTCAGGTAACTTTTTTGTACTCAATTTTGGTGACAATATTAATTTATTATCGTGAAATATTAAAGAATATTTCAAGTTACCACACTCGAATATTAAATAATACTTCTTGATGATATTCTATAAATATTTAAATAAAAAAAATTGTCATCAAAGTTGAGTACAAAAAACTTAACTGAAAATTACCCAATTTTAACAAACTAGTGGAGTAATTTCACAAAAAGTAATTGAATATCATGGTAGTGAAACATGCTTGCCATTTGGTAAATTTAAGTATCTGCTACATTGACCTACCAATAAATGGACGTTCGCGCTAAAAAGTGTCCGCACCTATATAATAATAATAATATAATAATAATATAATAACGCACACACTCAACATAGCCCCGCACTAGGGAAACCCTGTCGCGGGTGCCATGGACACACACATAGACAACCACAAATTACACCCAAACTCACGAGAGAAATAAATGTAGGTCATACAAATATTTCGCCCGGCCCGGGAATCGAACCTGGGACCTCTGCGTGGCAGTCCGGCATGGTAACCGTTCGGCCACAGAGGCAGTTAATATCGCAAACAGAGCGTCAATCGCGCAAGTCTTCGTTTGTTCGACTGACAGCGCGGTTGTCAATTATGCAGTACCATATAATAATAACTTGGTAAAAAATACTGCAGTAAAGTGTAAAAAACAGGATTTTGTATCATATTTTCACTAGACAAATATGTTGTGTTATCATATAGTTCTCATTTAAAAGTGTTTAAATCATTAAAAAATTATGTACAGTTTTATAGTTTTTAACTTATATATGTATAAATGAATCGTAAATATAACTTTAACAAAAGCACACAAAATAATCAAATAGCTAACTGTCCTTTTTTTACACATTGCATGCGCAAAAGATAACAGAAAAGATAACTAATATAAACTTCTTGGTCATTTTCAATTGTTCGAACCACAAGCGATTGAAATATTTAGAACAAAGAAACTATAGAGTCGCTTTAATTTTAATTTTATTTTTAAAATGTTTTTTATTAAACGTTAGCAATAAGTAACAAAATATTGTTGTACTCGTTTTACGGCTTGGGATTACTTATCAGAAGTCAGAAAATACATTTGCCCGAAATAACGTTAGCTCGAATTTTCATAATGTCAAATGTATTTTTTTACGAAGATTACAAAACAAAAGTTAATTTTGTCTTTGTGAAAAGCATCAAAATTACTCAGATACTTACAGATATTTGAGTTTACGTTCTTCTAACTACTAACTTCAGCTTCCTATGTGAGTAGTTTTATCTTACGATGCAGTAAGAGTGTTTCCGGAAATCAGGAATACGAAAAATTACATAATATTTGATGGTAACCAATCCATGTCATCTATGTGTAGAACACCCCATTCGGGCCATTTGTAATAAACGTATATGAAGTTACCAATGTATATGCAGGTGTCCAAGCCCGCATACCCTCGCCTCGAGAGCTGGCAGCCCACACGCAGTCCATAATGCAAGGGGCCCTCATCAAGAAGAAACTGGAAGAACAGCGCGAAAACTTCCGCCGTCGTCAGGAGATGCAGCTACCGAAGCAACCCACGCCAATATCGTTTACTCCCACCTCAGTAAGTTGCACAACGTTGTGCGTTAATTCCTTTTATAACGAAATAGTCTCTGCCAACATTCTTTATACATTGATTTTTACATATTATTTGATTTTTGAGTCCCTTCGAGATCACGTACGTTGCAACATGTCTGAGACATCTTAACACGATAAGTTCCGATTTTAAAATCAAACAAAAGTTTAATTATGCACGGAGCTTTCATTTGTTAAAAACACCAATTTCAAGTAACGCTAGAACAACCGCCGTCTCATCTTCAAAGGATGCAATAACAAAATCTACGTTAATCTCTTTAATTGTCACCTCGGTAAGTTGTACAACGTTGTGTATTAAGCACGCTGTTTGCAGCGAAGTCATGCTTCTCACTCAGGGCGAAGTTATACATCCCACTAAGATAGTACTGATGATTATCAGAATAAACAAATTGACGGTCGCAGTAATAAGGGGTGTAACTCGTATTTTCTGCAATCGTCATCAACCCATTTATACGTACCCACTGCTGGGTACGGGTCTTCTTTCAGTCGAGTGTATAGGCCATAGTCCGTCACGCTGGCCCAATGCCAGTTTGGGGACTAACCACGTTCGTGCAGGCTTCATCACTTATGTTTTCCTTCACCGAAAAGCTCATAAAAAAATTTTAATTAATCAATTGATTTCTGCACTAAGAATAGTTATTTGTTATAACTGCAAAGTTGTTGTTTGTCGCGAATGCTTGTATAGAATCCAGAGCAAGAGACGGTTTCAAGCCACGAGACGCAAAACAACTTTGCTGTCGAGCGAAACACAACATTTTCCCTCACTATAGCGAGGAAAACGGTAGATGAAAGAAAAACAGCTGAACTATAACAAAATAATTTAATAAACAAAATTAGTTGTCTTTGTCAATTTAATGTAAACAATAATAAGAATAAAATATACCAACGGATTTATATTACATAAGTAATGTACGACAAATCGCGTAGTTGAATGTGTCATTGTTTTTTTTTTCATCGACCGAAAAAGTTAAATGAACCACAGTCCATCGTCAAGTTTGAATTTCAAAATAAAGCCTTTCCGGGCTAGAGAGGTGAAAAATATATTTCTTAGCTCAAGGGTGGACCTTATAAGATAAAGATCCTAGATCTTAGACTTCGAAATCAAAAAAATAGCCACTGTATTAATTTCTCAGTTCTTCTGTGCATCATCTGATCTTCTTTGATTATCAGGTACTTCGCAAAATGACGGCGGAGAAGGAATCGGACGCTCAGAGTCCCAAACAGCAATGGGCCCAACCGCCTAAGGTGCCGCAAGGACGACCAATAGTCAAGGTATATTTACTTAAAATAGACCAGGGCCCCCATTCTGCTTCTTTTCTTGAAACCGTTGGTCATTCTATTTCCACTGAGACTCCACTAAGATTATATTGCAATGATGATAATGGTTGTTATTCTGCTACAATCTAGTTTCAATACCGGGAGTCTCAATTGGTAGGGACATAGTATCGAATCAAAAGTATCGATACCTGTACTCATGAGTAGTATCGCATAAAAAGTACCGTCTCATGAAAGTATCGATACCTCGAGGTTTAGTATTTTCCCTACTTAAGGACAGAATATAAGACATGAATTAATAACTATTTTATTTGACTTTTAATTCAAACAAATAATAAAGGACTTTGATTAAATCGATCAATTCAGTCAATCGTCATTTCACATAATTTGTGTTACATAAATTTCTTCCTCTGTATAATCACAAAAACAAAAATCTGATTGGTAACAGTATGTTTCTCGTTTTTGATATTGTATTGCCCGCTTTTGAGAACAAACGTTCTGAAGAAGGAACAAACTTCGCCGGAATTGCGAAATATAACGTTTGTCAGGTATGTTAATTCAAATGTTTTTAACTATTTTTCTTCATTCTCATTCTTATAAAGAGGCAAATGGTGCCGTACACTATACAGCCAAGTCATTTGTGACGAAGATTGCCATTAAAAAAAATCGCTAAGTGGCTTGCATTATGATATGAGGTGTCTTATGTAGGAATTATTCCAAACGATACGACACTTGTCAAAAAGTACTAATACCTAAAAACTATCGAATGAAAGTATCGAGTGCAAAAGTATCGGTATCGGAAGGAAAGTACTCGATACCAAAAAGTATCGATACTTTTTCCATGTTTCTAAGTATTGGCATTCATTCATTCAACCGATCGATGCTGCTTTAATAAAACTACCTTAGAAATTTCTATGCATATCAATACGACTGTGTTCTTTTTTCTTTGTATCTATATTACACGACTACTCTGCGGCGTTTGTAAAGATAAAGATAAATTTATTTCTGTATAAAATATTAACTTAAATACATACATAAATCTTATTAAATAACCTATTATTTACATATATGCGCCAAATTGTCGCAAACAATGAAATTATTTTATGTTTACATTACTTTAATTAAGGTTAGTAGTGCAAATTAATCTAGGTGACACCTAAACTAAATAAAATTGTTTACTTGTGTCTTAGGTATCTAAATTGGTGATTATAGCATAACGGTTAGTCAACATATTTTGTTCAATAACAATAAATTACAATAATACATAAATCTTAATTATAATAGCTGGCGTCTTAATTATATTTATATTACTTAAAAACTGATATAAAATTTTCAGTGTCATTGTAGTTAATTCTTTTTAACCAGTCTTGCGCGGTTTTTTTACATTGAAACTTATTCATAGGATATATAGATAGAGAACGATTTATTTTATTATACAAATAGCTACCAAGAAAGCAAAAGAATCTGTGGGAGTGTTCAGTTCGAAACCGTTCAGTTGAACAAACAATGTCTGCTCGTCTTTTGCTGGTTTGGAGTGATGGGATATATGGTGTTAGTGAACGCTTTTTTATTACGGTTAGTAGTATGAATAGCTGGCGTATTGAAAGTACATCACATTTAGCAAGGAGTTCTGCTGTGGGAAAGCGAAAAGGTCGAAAAGTGCTAACTTTCAGAATGGCTCTTTGTGCTCTTTCTAAATTTAGCAAAGTATTTTTATGGGAGCCTCCCCAAGTCGTTATGCAGTATACAAACAGTGATTGACAAAGTGATAAATATACAGTTTTCAGTAGCTTTTCATTGGCGACATGTCTTAAATTTTTTTAAATATATATTAATTTTCGTGTTCTAGCTGTAAGACTTTCGATATGGGCCTTGAAATTTAAATACTTATCAACTGTTATACCTAAATATTTAATGGTGTTTGTACTGCTTAGTTGAGGGCATATACAAGTACTTTCAGATAGCGAGCCAAAACAGTTATGAGCTAATATTGTACATGAATTTAA